TGATATAGGTGAAGAAAACTTCAATGCTTTGTAATTACCTATGCACCTCAAAAGTTGGATATACGGTGGAACACTCATCGCCAATCTATTTGCGAAAGGAGAAATCCGTATAACCCTGAATCGAATAAACAATGACACCCCCTTAAGAGACAAAAAAAGATAAGCCAAATAAGAAGCTTCAAGATTAAAGTCTACCTACCCATGTTCCTTTAAAACCGGATAGACTTCCCCGTTATAGTAGTTCACCGTAGCCCAAGCTTGAACACGAATAGTCGGGATACTTGAAACATTGTAACTAAAACGAGTCATTATCTCATCAGGAACATCTCTCACAATTTTCACATAACCTTCGAGGCTCGTTATGAAATGATCTTCGTCATAGATATCACCAAAGTTGCTGCCACAAATATGCATTTTCTTAGTCCAATATCTTAACAAGACTTGAGAAAGTAATGAAAATTTTAATGGCTTCTTTACCTTGAATCCTTCCAAATAGCGTGAAATTCAAACTGCGGTATGACTAAAACTGCGTTTAGGAGTCCGGCAACAGCCACAGCATTGCAAATCTGAAGCAATCGAAAAATCTTAGGATATATGTTGGACTGATATGGCTTAAACCAAGGAAATTCAATAAGAGATCAAGAAGATGATACCGCGGAACGCTGCTGATTAAGACCGCCATTTGCCTCCACGATCAAGTAACCACTACTAGGAGCAAGAGCAGATGATTCTGGAAAATTTCATCAATCAAATTGTGTTCAATGCTCTCTTATGAATTTAATAAACGAAATATCTAAAATCATGTGAACAATCCCAGAAACTGGGAATCCATATAACTCAATAGTTGAGTATCAGACACAATCTTACCCCTGTTAAGACCAAAATGTGATGAAACTGTTGAATTCGGACAAGGTTTTGGCATTTTTGGTCTTCTTTTGAATTTCCACACAGAAGACAACTGTTACCAAAATCAAGAAGCTTAAACAATTGAGACTTTACTATGAAAATGTCGAAGAAGAAGAGGAAGAAAAAGAGAAGGCAACATACCTCAAGGGCGGTTGAATTGTCAGATAAAATGTCATCTTTAAGTTTCCGGTAAAACTCGGGGCTCCGATAAACAGACCCGGGAACATAAACCCACCCGACAAGACCAGAGAAAGGACCGACACACATGAGAAGCCCAGAAGCGTAAATCATAGGAAGGAGAAGCAAGTAACGAAGATTTCTCCGGAGAGAGAAAGAAGAAGCTCTGAGTAAAGTTTGCCGCCGTTGACGACGGAGGATACGGCGGTTTGGAGATAAAGGTGGGCTTGGAGACTCACTTCGGCAGCCATTATCGTTACTTGAAACTACACCATTGTTGCCGCCATTGGGCTGGTGGTGGATTTTGCTTTTCATCAAGCACAAACAAAAAAAAAGTTTCGATTTTTTTGTGGTGAGGAGAGAGAAAGATCTGATTTTTTGGGTTTGTGAGGCTATGAGCTTGAGAGAGAGAGAGAGAGTAATGTTAATCACAGAGATCTCATGGAGACGATGGATCTGTGGAAACTTTCAGTAACATTGACGAAGTTCTTTTCTGGTCTGACGCATAAGACAGTGAGATTCTTAAAGGGACGAAACATGATTACACTAAGAATAAATTAGTCTTTTTAAGATTTTTTCTGTTGTTTGTCATTTCATTTTTTTTTATTTTTTTATTATAGTTTTGTCAAGGTCTCTCATTCCAACAATAACAAAATGGAATTGGATTAGGGAAAAAGTTACTTTCAATTGAATTGATATATTTTATGTTCTGGTATAAATTTGTATGTTAATTTAAAACATATATCTACATGTAATTTTTGTTTATTTACTCATGGATGGGTAAACTCTTATATTCTGGTTATAATTAATCATATTAAAATTGCTGTTTTATTTGTAGTAATGAATTGTTTTTTTGAAAATAAAAAAATATAGTAAAATTGACGATTTGATAAAAAAAATACACATTAATTTTATTTTTTCTTATGATAGTTTTTTTTTTTCACGATGTAGAGGATGGACGTTAGACGATCTTGTAGATATATATTTCGATTTTAATTATATAACTCTTAGACAAAATTTTTAACATGCTGTGTATATATTTTGGTTAAATATAATGTTTATTAATAAGATTAAATTCTAAATTTTACCATTTTCTAACTTAACATTACTTTTCTTATATTGGGTATAGAGATATTTATGATACATTGGTTAATTTCGTGGAAGTTGTTTGTTGGAAAACGTCTTCGTTAATGGATTTTTGTGGAGGTTATTCGGCGGGATCCATCAATATATGATATTTGGTTCTCGTGTGTTGGCTTTTGGGTATCATGAATTACTCATGAGTCAATCAATAGTAACAATGGTTTTCTTACGAGTTTTTAACCTTCAGGTTAGAATAAGGCAATGAGACTGGTCAAAAAACAAAATAATCAAAATTAGAAAGGGAAATTTGGGTTTGGAAAAGTGATACTCCCTCCGTTTCAGTTTATTTGTCGTTTTAGGATTTAAAATTTGTTTCATAAAAGTTATCGTTTTAAGTTTTCAATGCAAATGTTTGGTGAAAATTTCAGTTTTATCCCTACTGTTTTAATGTTTTGTTTGGCTAATGAATTTTTTTATAAAATATATTAATAAAGGGTAAAACAGAAAATTGAATGCTTTTCTTAATTTGTGTGAAAAACCTTAAACGACAACTAAAACGAAACGGAGGGAGTATGTGGCATAATGTGTAGTTCTATGTGAACAAAAAAAGAAAGATGTTGCAAGGGATATTAGTGATCTTTTTCGAAATAAGTCGAAAGTATTTGGGCGACATATATATGTGGTTTAGAAGACAGATGACTAGATCGTGACCAAAGGTTTTGATGAGAGATGAACGGAAAAGAGACATAGGCCTTGAATGGTTACTAGTTTTTAAGTGGTTTTGTTTATGGGAAAATCTATTTTTTCACCTTTCAAGATTTTAAAAAATTAGATTCCCTAAAATTTAGGAAAACTAGTTTTTGAGTGGTTTTTCCAAGTTTCAAAGAGAAACTAAAAACCACAATTTTGAGAATTTTGGGGAAGATTTTGTTTTCAACGTAATCATGTTTCTTTTTTTGATTTTTTTTTGATTTTTTTAATTAATTTTTATATTTATAACAAAAAACCAAAATTTTAAAACCAAAATCCAAAAATCAAAAACTAAAAACCAAAAACCACTTAAAAACTAGTAAACATTCAGGGCCATAATTGTGTGGGAAACATTTTGCAACCTATTAGAAATGGTGTGAGTTTGATTAAAGTTTGGGAGCTGAAACTAGTAGTATGATTTAATATTAATTACAACACGAGTGACAAAAATATCGATAGTGGAAAGTTATATATTGTAAAAGAAATTATTTTAGTCTAATTAAGTACAACTATCCTAATTCTATTATATCATCTGTATCAATAATTACTTCAATTTTTATATAATCAACTATACAAAAAGCCCCTAATATAGAATATGAGACAGTATTAGAAAACTGAAAAATAAGATTGATTTAGGTCCGTCAAGAAAAGTGGTCACATAGTGCATATAGATCGGTGGAGAGTTCCCAACAAAATATTTCTTTGTCCTTTTTTGCTATTAGTAGACATATTTTATTTACACCTAGCTAGTAGATTTTAAGCAAACCAAAAATACCTACTTGATTTTAGTAGATGTCAATAAAAAAAAATATCGATAAGGTATCATCAATTAATTAAGCAAATAATGACTATCTGCAAACAACATATCACGTAAACAAGCAAATAATTACTATTTTTTTTTTGTCATAGCAAATAATTACTATTTATTACCCATGTGGTTTAGTTTAAGTGCAAAGTATGTGATTATTCTTTATCAAAAGAAAGTATGTGCTTATTGACATTGTAGAAAAACATGTAATTGATGTAAATACTACTGTTTGTCGTATTTGAATCACGATGAATATAACCGTTTAATGATACAAATGTATGTTGTAAATTGTTTTATAAAACTTTTTGTCATATTTTTGAAAAAAAAAAATTATTTTCTGCGTAAATTATAAAATCGTTATTTGTGTTTGTATAATACTCCCTCCGTTTTAGTTTAGTTATCGTTTCGGGATTTAAATTTTGTTTCATAATAGTTGTTGTTTTAGGTTTTCAATGCAAATGTTTTGTAAAAATTCCAGTTTTATCCTTATTGTTTTAATGTTTTGACCAATGAAAAATTTATAAAATATCTTAATAAAGGATAAAACATAAAATTTAATGGTTTTTCTTAATTTGTGTGAGAAAACCTTAAACGACAACTAAAACGAAACGGAGGGAGTAAAAGATACTATAAATTGTAGTGATAATAATACCAAGATGTCAAAAGAATATAGGGAAAAATGTCAAAAAATTCGCCAACTTTCAAATTTGGGACGATTAAAGCATGAACTCCCGAGACGTCTCTTTAATCACAAAGTTTTTGTTGACCAGTTTAAAAATGACAAAGTTTGAGTTGACCTGGCCAAATAAGGCACCGCGTTAAGTCTCCGTTAGAACCAAGATGACGCTGTTAACAGGCCGTCTACGGTCTCCGTTTAACCAAAACGACGTCGTCTCTTCAGAGACTGAATTACAAAGCCCCAAATCGAAAACCCCCTAAATCGATTTCATTCAATCCCTAACCCTAGAAGAATTGAAAATCAAATTCTCTCTCGTGCTCTTGCCTATTGATTCCGATGGCAAAGACTCATGGAGGTAATTGGAATCCTCGTCGGTCGCGGAGGCTCCTGGCTACGGTAGATGAAGAAGCTAGAGCAAACGATCAAGAACCCGAGACGATCGAGATCCCAGAAGAATCAGAGACAATTCCAGACCCGTCGGAGAGTGAGGCTGCGTCTAAACCGTCGGAGAAGGAGACGGTTCCCCAACCTCAACAGAAACAAAAACAAAAGCGTGGAGAAAATTTGAGCCCTCGTCGGTCGCGGAGGCTGCTGGCAATGGTAGAGGAAGAAGGTAGAGTAAACGATCCAGAAGCTGAAAGGATTGAGATCCCAGAAGAGAGGGATATAATTCGAGACCCGTCGGAGAGTGAGGCTGCGTCTAAACCATTGGAGAAGAGCACAGCTGAAGTCGCAAAGGAGACGGTTCCCCAACCTCAACAGAAACTAAAACAAAAGCGTGGAGAAAATTTGGGCCCTCGTCGGTCGCGGAGGCTGCTGGCAATGGTAGAGGAAGAAGGTAGAGTAAATGATCCAGAAGGTGAAAGGATTGAGATCCCAGAAGAGAGGGATATAATTCGAGACCCGTCAGAGAAGAGCCCAGCAGAAGCAGACAATGAGACGGTGTTGATACCGCCGGTGTTGATACCATCGGAGAAGAGCACAGTAGAAGCAGTCAATGAGACGGTTCCTCAACAGAAACAGAAAGGGAAGAAAGGGAAAAAAAGAAGAAGGAAGTACTGTGAGGATATAGAAGAAGATCGCGATGGTGTGAGTGGGGATGATTGTGAGGTTATCGGCGATGAAGACTGTGAGGAGGTAGGGTATGCAGATGAGGTAGAAGGTCATGAAGTTGTTGTAGCTGTTGGTGAACACGAAGGTAATGGGGACGAAAATGGCGATGAAGCTGTAGACAATGGTAGTGGAGGTGCAGAGGAAGACAATGGCGAAGTAGGTATAGAGGAAGAACATTGTGACGATTTCGAAACTGAGTTTGGAGTAGGTACGAGAGAAGATGACCATCATAGTGATACTGATGCAGACAGTGGAGATGAAATCTGGGACGATGAGAGGATTCCAGCTCCTTTGTCACACAATGATGATGAAGAATATCATGAAGACGAAGCTGCTGCAGATGATGCTGAAGATCCGGAAGTGCTGCTGAGATTAAACAAAACTTTCAATGGCCCAGAAGAATTCAAGATAGCCGTTTTAAGGTACTCTCTTAAAACCAGATACGACATCAAGTTTTATAGGTCACAATGTCTGAGAATTGTGAACATTGAGATAATGATTGACAACAGGAGCCGAGGAATATATTGTTTGGTCAAGGACAACCATTGCAAACAGAACCTTCCCAAGGAGTATCATCACAGGGAGCACCTTCACCTTCTCAAGCATCTCAGCCAGCAACATCACATGGAGCACCTTCCCAAGCATCCCAGGGACTACCATCGCAGGGACTACCATCGCAGGGAGCAACATCTGAAGCTCCTCATGTACCTCCACAGAGAGGAAGATCACACATAAGAGGTGGAACACAGAGAGGAAGATCACACATAAGAGGTGGAACACAGAGAGGAAGAGGAGATTCACAGAGTGGATGGCAGAGAGGAGGAACACAGAGAGGAAGAGGAGATTCACAAATAGGTGGATGGAGATCATGGTTTGAATGTTCAAACTAAAGACTTTGATGCAGCTTATGTTTTTTTGCTTGTTTTCATGCTGTCTTTTGGTCAAAAACATGTCTTCCTTTGTTTGTCTTTTCTCGGATTAGGTACTCATGTAACAATCACTTGTTTGGTCTTTGTTTGGTATTGAGACATGTTTCTTTAGTTTCAATCTTGCATTTTCATTCCTTTTTAGTTAAGAAAACCTTACAAATGATGCATACAAGTTCAGACAACATTACAAAAGATGCATACACTTAATAACCAATTGCAAGTTTCTTTTGGTTCCTATGACCAAACAGTACATAAACAACCACAACTGTGGTAACACAAAGCCACACAAAACACACATTCAAGCACCTTTTACCTTTTGCAGCTTCCTTTTTTATGAGAATTGTTTCTTCTTTCAACTCTTGTATCTGATCTTTTAACACATTTGTCTCCGATTTGGCTATGCTAATCTCATTTGCAATGATGGCTAGTCTTGGTAAAGCATCTTCAACTTCTTCAAACACGGCGTCCTCTACCCACTTAAACAAGTGATCCTAAAGCACAACCATAATTTAGCTTCTTTAGAGCATCAATCAAAAACTTCAAAACTCAATTGATTTCTTCTTCAAACTTACATCTTTTTTGCTAACACATCAGAAGAATGGTCGTCCCGGGTTCTCTTGTGTCTTAGATGTAAAGATTGTGACCCCTAATCCACACACACATTTCGACGGCACACCACGTACTCCGGCGACACCTGATGTGACAGAGCTTGAACTCATCGAAGAAGATGTCGAGAGATTTGAGAATTTTTTTTTCTAGGGTTAGGGATCCATTTGGGATGGAAACTCGATTTGGGGCTTTTGTAATTCAGTCTCTGAAGAGATGACGTCGTTTTGGTTAAACGGAGACCGTAGACGGCCTGTTAACAGCGTCATCTTGGTTCTAACGGAGACTTAACACGGTGCCTTATTTGGCCAGGTCAACTCAAACTTTGTCATTTTTAAATTGGTCAACAGAAACTTTGTGATTAAAGAGACGTCTCGGGAGTTCATGCTTTAATCGTCCCAAATTTGAAAGTTGGCGAATTTTTCGACATTTTTCCCAAAGAATATACTATATATATGCCAAACTTAATATAAGGGTGTAGCTGAAAATTCGACGATTAAAATCCACATGGGACCGTGATTTATGAGTGGTCATTAACTGTTTTCCTCTTCTAGTCAAAGCTCAGCCGTTTGATTTGAGCAAACGTGGGATCCCCAATAAAGTGGAGAAAGTGAGCAAAGCTCATGTTTCTTCTTCCTCTTCTTATTCTTATTCTTGTTTCTTAGCTTTAGATTACCTAAACTATCCTTTAATCTCATCAAGAAAAGTCGACTTTTATGAGGGTAATTAAGTCCATCAAACCTTCAAAACAGCTGGATAGTGACGAGAAGCACGCTAATTGATTTCTCTTAATTCGTGAAAACACTTTTCTAAAACCCCACTTGCAACAAGCTATTATTATTTAACTAAAAGTATCGTAACTTCTTCGTTTTTGAATAATTATCCAGCTTGCGAAATGTGAATGTGTGTACAAACATGAAACATCCATGCATGCATGTTGGTGTCTCATGCTGACGGATATATGTGTTATGTGTGTACGCATGTGTTTCTATTTTAATTTGTGTTATGATTTTGACTTAAGCATGCGTGATCGTCGGGATTATTATGTGTATATCACGTGATAGTGTGCCTTTTTGGTAAGTTATCCTTAATACAGTAATTAAAAAAACTTGAAGACTTCATTTTTATTTAATTTGTAAGAAATAAATTACAATAAATGAGAATTTTTGCATTGTGTCGTGAAGTAATGTGGATAAATTTTTAAGCTAATAAGAATTGGTCTATACTCTATACATACACAACTTGATACGTACTACGGTCTACGTAGCATTCAGATTTCAGACACCTTAAAGAAAATTACAGACCAGACCAGAAATCTTTTTGCATCAGTGGTAAAAGGTAGTCTTCTGCATTACTCTTGTGCAGAAACCCAACTCTTTGCCTAGATTAACAAATGCTGACTAGAGAATCAAAGTTTTTGGAAAGACAAATTTATTTTAGTTTCTCGGAACCTATTTTGACTAAGTTAATATTGTGCATGTATCGATCACAAAAAACTGAAAAAGTACTCGGGAGTTTTGACGTAGAAAAAAAAATGATGTAAAAAAAAAGTGATCAGGAGCACAATGCTCACCAAATATGCCTGTTTAAAATATTTTTCTGTGAACGAACCGTTTATCCTACGATCTATCATTATTTTGTAGCCACGATGTTCCTCTGAAATTAAAGACAAATTAAACCGTCATAAGGTTTTATATATATATATATATATATATATATATATATATATATATATATACATATGTCTAAGCTAATAAAATATCTGCATGCAACGTTCAAGTATTTAGTATACTATTTGTTTTAAGGTCAACCCCATATGAACACGGCACATTAAACCCATCTTATCGTAAACTTGCCAGCCTCACAAGACTGTTAATCACGTTTCATTATTTTTTTTTATAACTTCAATCTTTAAACTATGGAAGTCAACCACTCATGGAAACAACCCAACAAACAAAATGAAACATCGTTATTCGTTAACCCCAAAAATAATAATAAAACTCTTTAAACTTCAAAGGTATACAACCATATATAAGTCAACTGTGCAAAAATATATTTTTGTAAGGACCCAAAATTAACCAAAAATAATACAATTAATGACATCAACTTGGATGTTTATTAACTTTCTTAACAAAAAAATCGGCAAGAAATAGACAGAAGCGGCAAAACAAACTTTTCCAACAATTTCACAATTGAATAGCCACCATAATTACCAGTAATCAAAGTTAGTATTTAATATAACTCATATATCGTAAACTTAGTGATGCAGCTAGATATTTGGAATATTTTCAAATATTATTATCATATATTTAATTATTTAGATTTATATTTAATGTTTATTTTTAGAATATTTTATGAATTTTAGGATTTTATACTTTATTAGAAATAGCTTTTTTAGGCCTCTGATTGTATTTAGTTGTTATTGAATTGATTAATCGAAAGATTTAAAGAGGTTTTTGATAAACCACTGTGAAGAATGTTTACAACCCCAAGAGCTTTTGCGAAAACCCTGAAAGGAGGACTCTCAAACCCTAGTTTTCGGGTATTGTCATAATCAATAGATCTAGTTCTATCCTAGAAACTTCCGCTTCATCATTTAGTCATACAATTGATCTTATTATTGAGTCGATTTTAGATAAGTATATACAAAAAGATATGAACTATAGATATTCTTGCCTTGCGTGTTTGGTATCAAGGGATTAGTTCTTTAATTTCAATGAGAGGAGATGTAGTTGGGATAATATGCTTGAAGCATGTGATTTGAAGTTTACTTTTAGTGGGGTGGCACAAAAAGTGAATTTTTTGAGTGAGGCTTGCCTTGAAGTTTGTAGGCCATGTATGTATATATGCCCTAAATGCACCTGTCCACTTCTTTAATTCCTCTTTAGTTTTCACCAACCAAACCTTGGATCATTTGTCTTTGCCATTCTATTTCATGTATCAAACATCTATATATACAGCTGGAATTTAATTAACTTGCATCTACAATCATCCATCTCTTACATAACACCATCATGTGTGTCGACACCAACACTATAAGAGTACGTCGGCGCAACAAAGGATTTTTAATAACTATGATAAATTTATTGGAAATTAATAACAAATAGGAACAATATATAAAAAAAATTCGTTTTTCTTTTGGACAACAACAGACCGATTCAATATTTCGATTACCTCTATTGCATGAAAAGGGATTCGGACCCAAGTAAAATTGTGCCGGTTCTTGGTAGACATGTAAATGTCACTAGACCGCCGTCACTTCTTCCCATACAACATCACTATATAACTTGTTATTTTTTTTCATCAATCCGCTTTTAAATAAAAATGTTAGAAGTCACACATCGAATTTTAATTTCT